CATCCCAGCACCTTCCGCCAGGCACAGGCAAAACTAACCCTGCTCCTGTCCACCCCAGCAGCCTCCATCCTCCCTCTGACGGACCCCAAAGCGCTTCAGACTCGCACGCGGGCAGAAAAATCACTTTGCTCTTCACTCACTAAAGCCAGATTTAAGCCTGGACCAGACGAATTTCGGCCTCCACCGGTGACGGGAGTGAGATGCCGCGGGGAGGGCGGGAGAAGAGCACGGGGGAGCGGGCGGGAATTTGAGCAAAATAAGGAAAAAAGGTGAATTTTGCAAAAAAATCTGGATTTTTGGGTTTTTTTTTGTTTTCTTTTTGCATTGGCCAGTCTCAAAAAGCCAGTGAAAATCATCCCATACGACACTCCTGGTGCCTTCCCAGCAGTGCTGGCATTCCCTGGTTGGAGCTTTCTGCTTCCCACAGGATTTCTTCCCGGCTTTTCAGATGGGGGATGCCAAGGGGTCATGTCCCATTGGGCTCCATCCCCACACGCCCAACCTGATGGTCACCACAACAGTGACCAGCTCCAACCCCTGCACCCAGAAACCACCTGGAATTTTTCATTTTTCCCTTTTTTTAAAATTTCCCCCCATTTTTTAAAGTGCTTTCCTTGCTTTTTAATGCCTCTGGGGTTGACTTCTTTGCTCAGCACCACCAACCGTGCGCGCGTCCTCCTCGCGTCCCCCCCTTGGCATGCATAGTGTCCCAGTCCCTGCGCCGGGATGCGGTTTTTCCGTGTCACTCCCAGGAGAATCGTCGGAGCTGATTGGTTCTCCTGCCTAATTTGCTCCCCCCTAAAACAAAATAAGACAATAAAAGCATATCCCGGGAGCGACTTCGCCCGGGTTTCACCCGCAGTGCTGCCCTTCACTGTTTGTACAAAACAAATAGAATATAATAATCCCTATGGAAAAGGAAAAACGAAAATGGAAAAAAAAAAGTAATCCCAAGATCTTGTTCTTTTTAATTGTTTCATACAAAGATTTCTCCATTAAACTTGTACATAGCAAAAGGATTAATAAATTAGTTTACTGTTTCTACAATATTATTGCGACTGGCGACCATCAATGCCTGTGGAGCAGGTCCCTGCTGCACCCCCCCACCCGCTCTCCCAGCCATGGGGGATGTCGGATCACCCTGCTCTGCTATGGAGTAGTTTAGGTTTAGAGGGGAAAAAAAGGAGTATTTTGGTACATCTGTGTTATTCGCAGAGCAGGATAGTGGAATCAGCACTTGGAGGGTGGTAGTGTCACACACACGCCCCTTAATCAAAAATGGGATGGACTGGGGAGTTATTGCGAGTGATTTTAGGGTTTTACAGAGAGAAACAGAATTCCTGGCTGTCTCCATCCCACCCCCAACCCTTTTCCATAGGGATAATGAGGGCACCAGCACGCACAGCCCCCAGCATCCCTGGTCTAACTGGAAATAAGGCAGGTTCTGCTCTCAGAAGCCCCTAGATTTGGAGAGAGGAGCGACATCGCCACAGCCCCCTGCCCCTTCCTTTCTCCACTTTATTTCCCGTTTTCCTGTTTCTCTTTCACTTCCACACGCACTAAAAAAACCCCAACAAAATCAAGTTATCAAAGGGGTTTTGCAACAAAAAGCAATTTAGCTCGACATCGGGAGGCCCAAAGACTCTGCTAAGCCCACCCTGCACATAAACCACACAGGTCTAGCACATACCAGGTTCAAAACTTGCTCGATTTGGTGTATTTGGAGGAAAAAGCACAACAAAAGCAGGATGCGCGGCCCCTACTGCCGCAGGAGGAGTGGGCAGACACTGCTAT